AAAAATGACCATAGATATATAACATTTTCTCCGGATGTTTATATAAGTATATTCTATCTACCATRCAATTTTCAAAAAATGTCGACTTAAGTTGAACTATTATTATAGATTAGGCATAAGCAATTTCCGATCATTATTAGTTTTTTTWAAATTAATATCGATAAAAATTGGGTTTTCACTAGATTTCTCATTTAGCGATTTTCTTATTTTGACGTAACTCTAAAAAAAAATGACCACAGATACTTGAAATTTTCTCTGAATGTTTATAAAGGCATTTTCTATATTTGATAAAATGTTCAAAATATTCTGATTTTTTTTTTAGGTTTTACTGACATTTTAATTTTTCAACTTTTTTAGTTTTTTTTTTTATAAATAACGATAAAAATTAATTTGTTGGGTAGAAAAGCTTAAAAATTTAATTCAAGACACCTAAAATATTGATACAATAGCAGTTGAAAAATATTAAAAATACATAGGCGCAATTTTTTTTATAAGCATTCAAAGTTTGAATTTTTACAACATACGTAACAATCACAAGAATTCACAAATTATTTTAAGCTAGAAATTCATAAAAAAATTTCTTATATAAATCTAAGATCTGAAAATTTAATACAAGGCGCCTAACATATTTTTAAAATAGCAGTTGAAAAATAAAATAAATTCATAGTCACATTTTTTTTTTTTTATAATCATTCAAAGTTTGAATTTTTACAACATACGTAAAAATCACAAAAGTATAGAATAGTTATATAATATTTTTTTTTCATTATCGCTGATAATTTCAGGATAGCATACAAATAATATTAATTCCACTTATCGACTACTGTATTAATAATAAGTTAGGTTATAGTTGTATGGCGATATGTCGGGAAGTAGGCACGAAGGCCTAGTGGGCACCCGTAGGTTTCTGCCATGCTCGGGTGGAGGGCAGCGGCCTCTCTTTCCAGACAGCGTGAATTGCCCTGAAAGCGATGCCGTTCGTGACCGGGATTCGAACAGTTCTAAATAGATTTTTTTTTTTATCAATATTAAGATAGTTCATCATTGAATACGAAATTATTATTCCTATCTCCAAAAATATGGTACACTAGAAAGTGTTATTTTTCAAAAAGATGAACAAATTTAAGATATTTACTAATATATTGTAACTAATAATACTCAATAATCTATAATATTATGGGTTTTCAGTTGATTCTTCCATTTCAAATTGGAAACAGCAATACAATGCAATATAATAGTTATTTTATCGATACTGAAAAAAATTTAAAAATAATAACAAAACTAGGTACTTGATACAAAACATTTATTTTTTAATAATATTACAATCATGGATTTTTAGACAGTGAAAAACTTAAATACCAACAGGTTCTTTTTTTGAATGAAATTGAACCTATGTGTCAAATTCACAAAAACCGTATCTCGCATTATTGTGAAATGTGTTATTGATAGATGATATAATTGCTTAGGATCTTCATAACATTTTAAATAAATGTTATAGACTATTAAATGGTATAAATACCATGTACAATTAAATTAAATTAGGTAAGATATATTATACTACGGTGTACGAGTATGACATTAATTAATGTAACTACTTTTATTATATTGTTAATTACAAACTTAATCTATGAGTTTTTATAGCTCTATAATTTGTAGGAAATTTTTGAAATCTATGTGTTTATAAACTTACTTATTCCGATTTTTTTCTTTTTTTATATTGATCGTTCTATTTGGAAAAAAATTGGAATGTGTAAGCTTATAAACATAGAATTAAAAAATTTTTCTACAAACTATAGAGATATAAAAACTCATAGATTAAGTTTGTAATTAACAATAAAATAAAAGTAGGTAGTTACATTAATTAATGTCATACACCGTAGTATATGATATGTGAAATAAATTTGATCATTTACACAAGTTTTTTTTTTAAATCCTACCTCTTATATGTTTCAAACTGTGTGTTAAATTCGTTTCATGTGATTTTGCTAGCAGTATATTCTATCCACCATGTAATTTTCAAAAAATTTCGACTTAAGTTGAACTATTTATAGGTATATGCAATTTCCGATCATTATTAGTTTTTTTTTAAATCTAATATCGATAAAAATTTATTTGTTAGGTAGAAAAGCTTGAAAATTTAATACA